ACACAAACACCGTACATCCCGTCCCTTCCCCCCCGCCCCCGAAAAGTTTATGTAACACAGGTCAGTTATTGCATTTTCCGAACATGAATAATTTAATAAAGCTTGTGACTTATGTTATCTCAACTTGCGTGGTATTAAGATAGCACGAGCTATCTTTCCTATGGCAAAATCTCAAGGACTTGGCCAAATCTTATCCATTTGCAGAACCAAATTATCCGTGAAGTGGCAGCTCATTATTGACTCGTGCATTAACAATAGGCCATTTCCGAGTTACCTTGAGCCTCTTTCTCAAAGCGAGTCTTGGTACCCATCCTTTCAAATGAAAATGAGATTTCATTCACATGCAAGTCACATGCAAGTTAAACTCATTTTCATATGAATTATTGTGCACCAAGCCTTGCTTTGATGGAGAGGCTTAGGCCACCTCGGAAATGGGCTATTTAATTTACGCATTTAATTTTGGTCTCCAACAGGTTTAAGAATTGGAGAGCCGAGAGGCACCCCCTCCCCTTCCAAAGCCACCCTCAAAAAATCCAAGGATTACCCAGGCTCGCTCTATCCCGATTAATGATCACCATGGGCCGGCGTCGAAAAAGGGAACACCATGCTTGATCAAAGAAAACAAACCATCACATCAAAAGAGAACTTTATATATTCAAACGTCACACTTAACTAGCTTGTTGGAAACGATCTAACTGCCGACTGAACCTGTCATTTGAAATTTCGGAGCTGTGGGAACACATAATTAAACACAGGCACTATCGAAATTTTTTTGTTTTTAAAAATGTTATTGTTGTAAATTTACGGCAAGTGTGGAGAAAATTACCGTCTAAGCTTTTAAAAAGCTAAAACGTTCGCGTTATAGTTAAAAACTTGGAACGCACTCGAAGCTAAACGAAGAATTCAGATTTTAGAACAAACCGTCCACAGAAGCAATCATGAACAAAGCTGAAAGGAAACGAAGTGCCATGGGATTGCTGACTGACAATCTTCCCTGACCTGAAAACACAACAATTCATCAATTAAAAACATCATTAAAAACAGCCAAAAGAGTGATTGCATAGGAAGCTACTGAGTGAGTTGTCCAACATAAAAAGAACACTCAACCTTTTGCTATGAATCTCAAGGATAATAATGACCCGTTCAAATGTCCAAATGTTGTTGTTTATAGTGGCCAAGGCGCTTGGCTACACTTAGCTAGTTCACAGGCATGCCACCCAACTGGTGGGGGAAGACCAGTTGGCTATTTACAAACATGACCGAGGGAACTTGACCTAGGGTCTACTGAGAAACAGCTCCTTCCGCGCTGCCTCCTGTACTGTATGACACTGGGATATCACGCACCTGCTTTAAATGAGGCTTTGAATCCTTTGTAGACAGTGGTAGAGTTGTAGTCACTCTCGAAGTGCACCCAAACCATGTTCCCAGTGCTCTGTATGGTGTTCGGCTTTCTATTGCCGCACAGGCGTCCGGTCAGGATTGGACCACGGTATCCTTCTAGATCTCCTGGGTCTCTCTTATCAATGGCGGCTTCACGGAACTCAACGTAGTCGTTTTTGCAGTTCTCACTCTCCTCCAGTTGGAAAATGCCGAAGTCTATCTGGACCTGTCGCCCTTCAGGGACAATTAAAAACCACTCGTACTCGGAACCAGAGCGATAGTTTT